ATCACAAAGAGGAGTTGATATGTCTGAATTTAGAAAAAAAAAAACCCGGTCTATCTGAGTTTTTTATGCTTATGATTAGAAAGTCCTTGTCTATTCGCATTTATATACCTTGACACATGATGCCAAACAAACCAATGACAAATATTGTTACATTGTATGAAAATAATATATATAAATATATATTTTATAATGCATTATGTATAATTCAAATTTTTTAGGAAAATTTAGAAGTTGAATATGTCACAATGAAGGACATTTCTCTATGGGTTTAGCAAATTTTGGAGCTCTAAGAAAATTCAATGAAGAAGAAAAATTAAGTGATAGTTAAATGACGTCATCATATTTGACCTAATTAAACTTTGAGATTTGACCTTGGCTTTCATTGTTCAAAAATATACATGTGTCCAAATATCACGTCTGTATTAGTATAAAAGAAACAAAAGTTACATTTCATCATTTAGACAATTAAATTACACGTAGAAGAAATAAAGATGTTCAAGATGTAAGCTCTTAAAATGCCCAATACTGCATATTATTTTGATATTCATATCATGATACGAACTCTACAACAGTACTACTGCGTATGATTAAAGTAGATGATTTAGTTAACCACAAGTCTTAACTGTATTGCCATTCTTTATCCCAGTTTTTAGGTCTTAAACTAAGGTAGTGAAATTCTCCAAAATGACCGAGATAAACTGTTATGTTGCCACCAGACTGGCCTCTGGAAAGAATTTCTGTGCGTCTGATGTCGTCCCCGTACACATTAAAGACTACAGCTCGTAGACTCATGGCGTCAACAGCAGCTTTAAGTATGATGTGATCACACCATTCCGTATTTTGCTCCATTCTCGACAAGTATTGTTCCCAGTTCTCAGTGAAAAGGAAGGACTCCGTGTGTGAACCATCTTCTTGATATGGATTTTCGCGAAGAAACCTGTCAATTTGAGTACATGTATGTATATTATTGAACAAGAGAATAATAGTTATTAAATAGGTTGTACATTTAAGAATTTTCTGTCTTTAAGAAGTGGTATGTGCAACTTTTGTGAACAAAAAAACTTTATTTACGGCACGTACTTCAGAGTGTATTTTCGTAAAGAATCAGGAGAGTTTCCAAAAATTCCTTTCACAGAAAGCTGATCTTCGATGGCTCTAAAGAGACAATTTCCATCTGCCATAACATCATGGACCGTGAATCCATTGGATTTTGCAAATTTTTGTAATGATCTGATAAACATTGGCATATTGTAGTATTGCGATATTCCTTGACCTGCATACGATTGAATAAAAATTACAAAATATCTACAGTTATTAAAAGAAGTATATAGTGTCTTAATATTTTTTTTTATCAAATATAGAGGATAAAGATAGCACTTGCACTTGCAAAATCTCTGTATCGTTATCTTTGATGTCATTGATGTCATATATTTGATTTTGATGAACTTGTATATTGGTATCCATATGAAAAAAAAAATTTTTTTTAGTTAATCAACAATTGAAAGGCAACAGTACATAATGCATAGATCAGCACTGGACCATACCGTCTGCTTGAGAAATAATGGAGTGTTTTATCAATGTGTGCAATGAAAGAGTGAAAAAACTGAAACATTTAGTAGAACATGATTCAAACGAAAAGCATTGTTTGACATTGTCAAAAACGAACTTCAACCAAAGACAACTTACTATATCTTCCGGTTCTTTCAGACGTTGTGGAAGGGGAATAAAACATCTCATGGAAGCGCCTATCGTCCTCAAAGTTGTTTTTATAATTTTCAATGTATTCGTCTTCACTATCAAAATAATCAGTGGCTTCAAAATCAAAACCACAACGATCAAATTGTATATCCGAATATTTCTCTCTGTTTTGTTTTTCGGAAGGAAAGATAGATGTATTTATGCCGTCGTCTCTTGCAGTTGCGGTGTTTTCTATGTTTTCAAAATTATTGGCTCCAAAATTATTTGCGAAAGATTTTTTGGTTGAATTGGTCATTTCAGTTTTAACGACAGAATCGCCCACCTTTTGACTTTCATAGTGAAAGAAACCTGGTTGCACATCAACACGTTTTGGAACTGTGGTTTTGGTAATATTTCCAAATTCTTCGGAATCAAACTTGTCTGAAAAAGTCATAGTTGCTGAGTCATGCTGAATTTCGTTTTGAAAGGTAAGAACATTTTCTGGCTGATTAAATTCTTCTTGAATATTTATAAATTCATTGTGAAATTCGTTTTCTACACACTCTTCCTCAGATGAATTATTTAACCAGATTTCCCGAGAAAATTTTATGGTTTCTGTTCTGTCCGATGATTTTTCCATCTCTGATAGAAGATTTAAGAAAGACATTCTATCTCCCGTTTAAACTATCCAATGTCACACTTCCTTTCAAAGGAATGCTGAAAATTTATACCTAGCGATTTTACTTTGACAAGGAAATTTTAATAAAATAATAACTTAGGGAAAAAAATTTCGAAACAAACGCCACCAACTATTTAGTTTTTTGATAACGATATCATTTTTCATATTAAAATTTGGTATATATTAAAGATTTTGCAACAAAAAATTTCGAACTCTCAACCATCCAATGTACTGCTGCAGTTAGAAGTAAGCAATAAACCATTTTATTTATTATCACTCTGTACTATTTGCTATCCAATCTATCACTCTTTTTTGTATTTAGTGAGAAATAAAGCTTATTTGATTAAAGTTACTGTGACATTGATATTAAAGAAACTTCCTTCCTTGTTTTTTTTTTCTGGATTTTTTTTTTCAAATTCAGCCACTGCTTAAATCAAATATATCATTATTTTATATTTCCCAGAATGAAGGAAGGATTTTTAAAATTTATTTTTATTGGCATTGCAAAATATACATGAATAAGTCATTGATTAAAATCCTTTTATACTCCCTTATTTGGGTTGAACAGTTATATATTCGTTAAGAAAAGGAATGTAAACATCTCTGGCTTAATTTGACCAAAATGTTTACTAAAACCTGCTTATACTGTTTTGAAAAGTTTATTTTGGAAAGGGTCAACCAATAAACACCAATTAACAAGTTTTCAGTTTGTGATTTTGATATCGGTTCTAGCGAGTTGAACTCGTGCATTGTCATGCAATCTATCCCTCGGTCAATATTGGTATTTTTCTGGTCTGTATACATGTTATCAACAGATTAAGCACCTAAAAGTCAAGTTCGTTATTGCTGAATAAACACCATATTGCAAAACTTGTATTTAAGCATCCTAATAAGTATGGAATGCTGTTACATATATATCATTATTGTGTTTGTATTCCAATAAACTTAGATAAAAAGTCATGTACACATAGTTACATACAAGAACAATGTGTGTGAAAAATTGACATAAAAGTAAAATTATCTGTCAACGGATTTTCATTCTTTTTTTAAGGAAATTTCAAGGTCACCTTTAAAACGTCACAGCTATGGTATGGAACCCAGTGCCTGAGCTTTGATGAAACTAATCTCATATCATTTTGTGCAAAATATAAATACTAGTAGAGTTTTCAGTCATATTTCTTTATCAATTGTATGAAAAAATATATACTAAAGTGAAGGACTTTTAATTTGAATTATTCTACCAGAATATTCTGATTTGTGTTTATTTGGCGAACGGCGTTGCTTCTGCTGGGTCGACATTCTGCGGATTCACGTTTTTCAGTTTAGTTCGCGGAACCTGTACGATGTTCAGCTGGATTTTCCTGTGAAACTCATATTTTAAAAACACCTGCTGAGTCCTATTGAATTGATTGGCTAACAATTACAAAAGCAATGCACATGAGTGAAACATATGTAAAGGAATAATGAACTTTGGTACACTGGTACGAAATTTCACAAATGATTTCTTTTAATTTTAGATTAATTTAAAAATGAACTACGTGAGAAAAAAAAATTACATTATATATAATTTACACACTGAATTGTCTACGGGTTTCCCGTGTCTTCCCGAACACGGCGGCTTTGATCGGTCTGCATGGCACCTGATCCCACTTCTGATTTTTTTGGAGGTCCGTGTTTGCTCTGTTCCCGATATGTATTGTTTGAATGGACTTTGAGCTTGAATACTTTTCGTTATCCCCATATATCATATGATATATTTTTTTAAATTTTATGATCAAAGGTTGTGAACAAATTCCTTATAATCTTAGCTACAGTTTGGAGAAAACAGCGTGAGAAAATCGGGCATATAGTAAAAAAAAATCATGTTCAATCAAGAATAAACAGATAGGTGATGCCTCTGGAATGACCGATAGGAGAGGGACTGATAGAGATCAAATACTCATCAAAAGTATAAAAATAAAAAAAAAAAGAATTTTAAAATAATAAAAGTAGATGTCTTTTATGTTAACCTTTTATTTTTAATTTTATGATGAAGTTCACCTATTTATTGTTGATGTAAAAGGTAAAGATAACGAACAGATACATCTAAGTTGACTAAATAAATAAAAAATAAATACAAATATATGAGTAGAACATTTATTTTAATCAGTACTATTCTAAGTTTAATGACATTCCTGAATGTTATGATAAATAAATAGACCACAAATTGATTCTGTCATTTCCTAGATTTGGCCTGATAGAACGAACTCAATATATTTTATTTAACCCTGTAAAACATAAAAAGAGAACGAAAAAATAGCAATGGTAACGTCTTTAAAAAATTAAACACTTGTGTAGGACGTCTCAAAATTTTCTCATTGTACAATTAATTCTATGATCATCTGCTGAATCAACTGAATGTTTTTTTCATTCATGAAAAACCATTAAATAACAGTTAAATGAACTGATTTATAATCACTCTATTATACATTATTTATTTATATCGTGGATTCCTGGAAGAAAGCCATATTATCATTTTCCGTCCTTATTTCCTCGCACTTTATCATTATTTTTATGATTTAATACTAACGATTGGTCTCTCTCTATATTACGAAAAGAAGGCCAAATATGTATTTATAAAGAAAACGTTAATATTAAAATCACAATGTCCGCTCAAAATGTAATACAGTTTATTGAGAAAAAGACATTACAACATTCTATTCGAGGTATATGGAGAAATGAAGAACAACTTGAATGTGATGATAACGAAGGCGTAGTTTTCGAGAACTGTTTTCAGAAAACGTTACCAAAAGCTTTGAGACTCTCCACAGAGTCAGATGTCATTCCAGATCGACAAAAAAGATATGTTTTAAATGTCGAAGAAGACATCGACAAAACCGATTACTTCGACAGCGAGGACGAATACTGGGAGGGTCAAAGGTCAACAATGAAGGACGATTTCTACTTAGATGCATCTGAAAAGGGATATGGTTCTCCAATTTCAGGCACCAGAAATACGGGAAGATATAGTATGATATTTCTTTTAATTTCAAGCGCAAATTATATGATCAAAAAAATTCAACATACATGTGCATAAATCAACTTAGATGATGAATTTGCTTGCTAACAGGTTTTTTTATATGACCTACCCTTGGATATATGTTTTTCTTTACTCTCTTATAAAATTTCTTTTAGGTAAGGGAGTGGAACAATACCTGAACATGCCGCTCTTTCAAAGGTCTTTACGAAAGTTCGCAGCTGACAATGATTTTCAGGCACATGATGTCATTTCCGATGGGAACTGTATGTTTCGGGCTATCGCTGATCAATTGCTTATTAACGGCTGCCTGGGGCATACGATAGAGTCTCTCAGACACACAGCAATAAAGTAAGTTTATTGTTAAAATATAAATTAAATCATCAGATCACCTGAGCCAAAAGCTCAAGTAAGCTTTTCTGATCAAATTTTCCCCTTTGTCTGTTGTCGTCATTGAAGTCTTTTTTTCTTTCTTTCTTTTTTTACTTTTTCATCTTCTTCTCCACAACTACTGGACCAATTTCAGCCAAGCTTGGCATAGAGTATTCTTGGGTTAAGGAAATTTAATTTTTCTTTCAAATAATGGGCCACACCCTCTTTCAAGGGAAGATAATTAAGAAATAGTTAAAATTAGGTTGGGTGATTTAAAAATCTTGTCAAGAACCACTGGACCTTTCTCGAAATGCCGTGTCGTGAGTAAATGCGTTGCTGGGGGACTAATGGCCAATTTCATTCGATAATTTACGGGCTTGCTTCTCTCATGGAGAAGCACCAATCAAATTGAAGCTTTCACAAATAGTTAGATAATTTAAGTAGAAAGGAATCAGCTGAAATGCACGTATTAGAAGTCGTTAATCATAGAATGGCTTTGATGCGATTAATGTGAGAAAAACAATCAAGATTTGTAATTTTCCTGAAAGACGTTACCGCAGTCATCCCGTGAAATATTGAATGAAATTGGCCAGGGGTCCCACGGCAACGTATTGATTCAGGACCCCTGGCATTGCGAGGATACCATTGGACAAGAACAAAACTGAAACTTACTTGGAAGGTCCATTACAAAGTGTTGATTATAGTTTGTTAAAATCACGACCCCGGGAAGAGTATTGGACTAAAATGGACGATCAAAATATTACATACAAATATATTGTAAAAATCTTTAAAGATCTTCTCAAAAACAGCAAAACCATGATCAGTCATATTTATTTGGAAACCTTCTCAAGAGTCGCGGAGAAAGGAGTTGATCCGTACATCGCAGATTCAAGTCCCACTTTGGGACGTGGAGACCAGTCCTTCGGGTGAGACCGTATGAACCGAGGTCCCGTGTCGCAGTAGGTGCTGGCACGAAAAAGTTCCCACACTGCTCAGTGGCCCTAAGTGCCGAGAATGGGTCTAAATTTGCAGCCCTCCACCCGCAAGTTTTGGCGTCTCCATTTGAATGAAAAATTCTCGAGAGAGGCGTAAAACAACAAACAAACAAGAAGTGTAGTTCAAGTTTGTTCAAATCATGACCCCCGGGGTAGGGTGGTGCCATAATGGGCGATCAAAGCTTTACATAGCAAAAATTCCTTTGAAATCTTCTCAGGAACATCAGGAATATGCACTGTACTGTTAAGGACGTGCAACATTTCGAAATGCAAAAGATAACATTTTATTCAATTTTCTAGGTATCTGAGACTTACTCCTTTCCATCAAGGCAAAGATCACATTTCTTCGTTTTTATCAGAGGAAACATGGGAGGAATATCTAAAAAGAATGTCAAGGTCTGGTGAATGGAGCGATCATATCATTTTACAGGCTGTTGCTGATATGTTCTCTCTCGAAGTCATTATCTTCAACGTCTACCACGACGACATTTGCAGGACTGAAGTCAAAGGGAAAATGAGCATACATGATCAACACCGTTTGACAATATTTCTTGGTCACCTTGGAGAGTTCCATTATTTAAGCTTGCGTCCAAAACTATGGCTGAGACACTGGCCTTACAGTGAGTAATTCAACTTATATTCCAGTATTCTTAATTACATGTATTTTAAAGTTGTCTCGTACGATTGAACGTTATACGACAAACAATTATGACCCTTTCAGTTTTTCAGAGGTTCTGATAATAAGGATACTAGCCTGTTCAAAAGACCTTGACTCTGAGACTAAGAGACAATTTATAACACAAAAGGTTAAAGGAATGATTGACGAAAGATTCATACCAGAGGCCACATTAAACCAAATTGCCATGTTTGTTCAACAAAATATCCCTAGGAAAGAGTATGAAGACGAAAGTAGTGGACAGAAGTGTATCAATAACAGGGAATTGACACATATCTTCAGACCATACAGCCAAATGAATTTTCAGTTAGAAGAAACTGAAGGTAACTATTTTTTATATGGTATCAAAACTAAGAAATACTGTTTGGCATGCAATAATCACTTTACCAGCGACTTTCTGGAGTCTATCTGTTTTTTTATAATAAACATGTGTATTGTTTTTCAATAGACCTTCAATGAAGTAGTGGTTTTAAACACTTGTGACTTTCTGACCTTTGACCTGATTGAAAATTACTTTGTCTTAAATCGAAGGATTTTGGCATGTGTATATTAGCATACTTTTCAAATTTTGCCTCACACCTTTTGACAATAAAATGCTGGGCTTTAATACTCAGACGTTTCATTAACTAGTAGGATTTTGTCAATGAAATTGGTCATGCTTTTTGAAATTATAGGGAAAAACGCATATGCTGTCTTCATACAGTGTGTCCAATACTATGGTAATAGATGTGGAACTGATAATAAGCTTCTATAATTGTTACAATACTTTTCTTAACAATAAATGAGTACTTCATTGTATTTGAATAAGAAAACGTTAATGTATTGCGAATACAAGCTAGGAATGCAGTAAGCAAATTGAATTTCTATTTTTTTTTAGAATCACGTCATAATTTGACAAAAGATGAAATGCAGATAGACAAGCTGTCAGGAATACCTCTTATTCATTTATCATTCATAATGAAAAGTCTCTTTTCGGAAGCACTCAAAACAACTTACATTTTTCCTAATGCCCAACTCTTTTATATAGAGGAAAATCAGGAAATTTTGTACTACCACGTAATAGGTTCTTGTAGTGAGCCATTTTATTTTTCGTTAAAAGACATAACTCGCTCACAGAAAATGGAAATGTTCCACAACGATCATATTCTGAAGAAGCGGCCAAAAATTGTTGTTATTAGACGGAACAAAACGGTTGGGTTCGAAGTTCCTCCAGAAGAAGTCCATTTGCTATCACATGCGTATGTGGATTTTTCGAGTTCCCATCCTGGCTATTGTAGAATTAAACTTCCAAAAAATCAGGAATCAGGCTCAGAGAGCAATATTTCAAGAATTGGCTCCAGTGTTTATCTAAAAGCGTATAGCATTCCTGAATGGATAAAGTCTATTCCTAATTTTCATGGATTAGAAGTGCAATATATAGGTTTCCTCTGCCTATTTCCTTTTATGACATCTCAATGGAAGAAGAAGAAAAGAAACTTTGATTACCCCTCGGCCGTCCTCATTGACCGCGCAATAGGAAGACATTGTACGTTGATACCAAAAGCGCATACAAGAAGCGAAAACCCAGAGATTGAATGGAAATTCGACTTTTCAATGGCAGACTTCACAATGCTTACAAATCTATCCAAGACACAGCAATATGGATATTTTGTCATGAAAGTGTTGATAGAAAACATGACTTTTCACCTTAACAAGGCACTGAAACGAAAGCATTTAAAAGCAGTATTTTTGAATGCATCTGAAGAAATGCCTTCTAGTGCCTGGGACACCTGCTTCAGCGGTTGTGTACTCCATGTCATCAGCAAATTGCTGGCATGTTTAAAAACAGGTTTTTTGCCACATTACTTCATACCAAGCAATAACCTTATTGATTGTTTTTCGGAAGCTGACATCAATGCTCTCTCTGTATGTGTTGAGTCTATTCGTTTGTTTCCAGTAAATATCATCCAGTTTGTTGCCGAAATACATGGATTCTTATATGGAAAAAGCTTAGTGAATTTGATTCTGTCAGACATACCATCTTTTGTGCAAACAAAAGATTTAAGAGCTACTGTCGAAAAAACATTGATTCCAACATCCATTCGCACAACAAAGGTTCTCTCAAGAATGGGACTTTATGACGCAGCATCTCAGCTGATAGAAGATATATATGAGCAGTCGCTACTAGTACCAGATTCAGAAAGAAATACTCCCAACTTTCAAGATTTCATTCAAGATGTAATTAGCAAAATTGACCAAAAGTCATCTCGATTCATTCTTGCCAAATATTTTGACAGAGACTATGGATTACATCTGTCAGCAAATTATACGCAAGATAATACTTTCCTACTGAAAAACCTTTTACCATGGAAGGTAGATGATACAATCGATTGGTTAACTGTACCAGAGGCCAGAACTGCAGATTTCACTTCAATAGCAAAGTTTTTGTACGGATATAGTCTAGCAGAATTCGACAAAAGAAACGTAACGCTAAGTTTATCTACAATAGAAACAGCCATACGCTGTTTAAAACATGTAATTGAACAAAATTCTTTAGATATGAGCACCATTGAAGATCAGATTTTGAAAGAAGACATCGTTTCACAAACCCGTGAACTAAAGGAAAATCTAAATCAGTACTACTTGCATTTGTACCGTGCATCATGTTTAGAATTGCGCATATATCCCTTGAACAATCATATGGATGATATAGAAAGACAATGCGAGGAATTTCCAAACATGGCTGGCATAGTCAGCAAAATGTTTCACCTCTTGAGAATGCCCGACAAGGAGGAGGAATATGAACTGAAATACAGATCGTATCTTTCAGAGACAGGAGGCCCTAAGCTTATAATCTTATCATGAATAATGTTTTAAACAAATAACTTTACGTGCATTTAAGAAGACTTGTTTTCTTTTTAACTCAGTGTAGACATGGTTAAAAAGTCTAGTTTATTTGGTATTATTTCTGCCGGTCACATAAAGGTAACAATTTATTGTTTTATTGCTTTCTAGGATATCACAAGAAATATTTACCGAACAATTGAAGCTTTTTAATTTTTGGCGAGACGATCAGTTACTTCTACATGTGTTTCAATTTTAGAAACGGTATACTCAGTATCATTTTGAAACTAAGCAGTAATATAAAGAATCAAAATCAGATATCAACATAGTCGGAGATAAAGGCATATTTATATGAAATGTTATGTAAATACTAGATGTTTTGAGTCTTCATGTGGATAAAATCAAACTTGGAACGGAACATCAAATTATAAGAGTATATAGAGACCATTCCACGTTAAATGTGACATTGCTAATGGATGCTTCAATATGGAATCTTACAGCAACATTTTATATTTTTATTTGATTTATTTTTAGATTCCATATCGAAGTAATTTGAACACGTAATCAACGTCGTGTACACGATTGCAATAGATATTGTGATGTGTAGCAACTAAGTGTTTGAATGTTCTATGAAACAAAAACACTATAGTACGGATTTACGAAAAAAGTTAAACAAAGCAAACGGACGACCTACCAGTTTTAATTTTATTAAAAGATCACTTGTTCCTTTTGCTCCGAGCTATCAGGATTTTTAATTACATCCTGTAGATCACTGATGGCACATTATTTTGTTGATTGTTGTTTGGTATTTATAAGTGAAACTAAATTTTGATGAATTTTGGTTGTCGCTCTATATAATCTTAAATGATAGCATTATACGCGAGAATGAAAATTTCAAGAGCGGGTGAGCTAAGCATTATTTCGCGAAAATAAAGTTTGCGCGAATAAAAAGTTATTAACATTATTACAAAAAACAGTCAAAATCTATATATACTTTCAAATTACTAAAACTTTATACTACATATCTGCTCCAATCAAAGTTTCCCTTTCCGGATTAATTGAGAATATATTTTTAGAATGTTATATCCTATCATTCAGTGCAATATTTTCCTTGTCGTCCAAATATTCTACCGAAATGTCACTATCACTATTACTTATTATATTTATATGAGTTAAAAGTTATTTCCTTGCCATATAAAATCCACACATTTTTTTCTTTTAAAGATTCTTGCATGGACAAAGTTTGAGTGATTTAAATAAAACTAATCAGAATGCTATTATTCTGAAATAAAGTTTATCATGAAAATATTATCACTTTAACACCACAATTAAACTTTTATATCATAATTTACTTATTCTGGTTAATTGATTAATGGTAAAGAAAAAAAATCTTCTGGTGTTTTATAGTGAGGCCTCCTCCATAGTCAGACTTTCCACGGAAGACTGTCTATATAATGAGTCTTCCTCTCGAAGGTTGGTTATATATATAGTGAGCTCCCCTCACCCCTGAAAGACTATATAGTGAGATTTCTCCACTAAATAGCCATTCTTCTGGAAGAAAACTCACTATATAGCCATTTTTCACTTTTTCATAGATGCTTGCCCATTCCACTCTAGTTTTTGGAGAAGTTATTTTAGGGCTTGTGTGTACGAATACAGCTTTGTTCTGCACTGTTGTTTCTTCGGTTTTAAGAAACGTTTTTCTCTGGAAATAGCCCTGGAAAGGGATCAACAATTAAGCATTAATTATAACTTTGTAACTCGACTTTCAGATATACGGGTGCAACCAAGAAAAAAAACTGAGGTAGCTGAAAAAAAAAATTGAAAAGCAAAAAAGAAAGACAAAATTGAACGGGGATTCTGAAGGGGGTCTATCATATTTTGGAAAAAAAAATATTCTGTCTTCCACTGGGAAGAAAATAATCTGACTGGTAACCCCTCCCCAACCGTCCAACCCCTCGAATTAGACAATAGAATTTCGAGTATGGGCACTCCCCTCTTTCTTTTTGCTTGTCAAATTTGTTTTAAGTGAAAAGAAAATGAATAATCTGTCCTAGCTCGATCATCTTGGAAAAAAAATTCTGTCCTGTGACGATTTATAAATAAATGACCTGACCAGAA